TGATGGGGATTGCATTGAATCTATAGATTACTTTTGGTAACACAGCCATTACCCTCCCACATACAGTATTGAACTGCTAACCCACAAATGGGGAGGTGGTCTTTCCATCATCTAGTGTCAACGTCAGCTTCTTTCTCCTGTGTTTAAGGTGTGTGTGTGTGTGTGTGTGTGTATAAGATTTTGTAAAGATTTTTTTAAACCTCCTTTGTCAGGTTTATTCCTAGGTGGTTTTTTGTTGTTGCTTTGAATGGAATTGCTTTGATGGTTTCTTTCTCAGTATGTTTGTGAATATTTAGAAAAGCTACTGATTTTTACATATTGGCTCTGTATTCTACTCCTTTGTGGAAAGGGCTCAGCAGATCTACTCCTGCTGGTGGGGGTCTTGACAATCTTCTAAGAATAGTAACTGGTGGTCTACAAAACTGTGTACACCTTTGTCCCAGTTATCTCCAGTCCCGCCTGGGCCGGCAGCCACTCAGACTCACATAAACACGCAGACGCTCATATTATTTAAACTGTTTGGCCTAATGGCTCAGGCTTCTTGCTATCTAGTTCTTATATCTTAAATTAACCCATTTCTATTAATCTATACCTTGCCACGTGGCTCATGGCTTACCAGTACTTTACATCCTGCTCCTCATGGCGGCAGCTGGCAGTGTATCCTTGCCTCAGCTTTTCACCTCCCAGAATTCTCCTCCTCTTTGTTCTGCCTACACTATCCTTCCTGCCTGGCTACTGGCCAATCAATGTTTTATTTATCAGTCAATCATAGTAACATATATTTACAGCACACAGGACATCTCACAGCAGTCTCCTTCCTGACTGTAGAGGGATAGCTTTCCAGTTTTCCTCATCCAGCATATCACTGGCCAGAGATTTGTTATGTACAGCCTTTATCATGTTGAGGTGTATCCCTTCTTTTCTTACTTTCTTTAGGGCTTTTATTATGAAGGGATGCTGAACTTTACCAAAGGCTTTTTCTGCATTTATTCAGAATCATGTGGTTTCTGTCCCCAAATCTATATTTGTGCTATCTTAGCATGTAGTGATTTGAGCATATTAAACCATCCTTGCATCCTGGAATGAAGCCAACTTGGTTGTTCCCGTATATTTTAAATATCTCTAGATTATGTAAATAGCTGATATATTGTATTGATTAGGGAATGTATTGGCTGATTTTGTGCGTCAACTTGACACAAGCTAGAATCATCAGAGAGAAAGGAGCCTCAGTTGAGGAAATGCCTCCTTGAGATCCAGCTGTGAGGCATTTTCTCAATTAGTGATCAATGGTGGGTGGCGCCATCCCTGGGCTGGTGGTCCTGGATTCTATAAGAAAGCAGTTTGAGCCAACCACAAGAAGCAATCCAATAAGCAGCACCTCTCCACGGCCTCTGCATCAGCCCCTGCCTTCAGAATCCTGCCCCGTTTGAGTTCTCCCCCTGACTTCCTCCTGTGATGAACAGTGATATGGAAGTGTGAGTCAAATACAGCCTTTCCCCCTCAACTTGCTTTTTGGTCATGGGTGTTTGGTCACAGCAATGGAAACCCTAACTAAGACAGGGAATAATAAGAAAGCAAAGCTTTGTATATTCAATGCAGACACAAAATATTTCCATTTATAATTCTGTTTCATTAGAAGGCAAAATAAGTTTTTGTGAATAGCTCAAGATTGAATAATCTTTTATGGGTGTTTTTGGTTGTGCTTTTGCTTTGAGATGGGGTCTCACTGTGTAACCTGGGCTGACCTTGAGCTCCTGATAACTCCTGCGACACCCTCCCAGCGGGATTAAAGGTGTGCACCACCATGCCCGGCTTTTGTAATGCTCATTTAAAAAATGCGATAACAGGACTGTGCCCCGAGTAATTTCACAATGCACTTTTGTGGTTCAGTGTGTTGTGGGATTGTTTGAGTATTTCTTCCACACTCTAAATAATGAATTTGCCATTGAATGTGAGGCAGTATAGAACCTGAAGGTGTTCCGTGTTATATATTCCAGGATAGTTTTCTCTGCCCTGTAAAACTGCCAAATCCACAGCTCTCTGAGTCCCGTGGGATCCAGGTTTTCCCAGGGAATCTATAACATGGAGGGTATCTGTCCCTCAACAGGATTCATATTCAGCCACACTTCCTCATCTGTGTCTTGGCGTGTGTGGGTAAGGAGTAAATCTCTTCTGGCCTGTGCCTCGAGTTCTCACCAAAATACCCTCATAAACCATGATCTGTAGGATTGGGCCAATGCTTGATGGGTATGAAACACATATTCCCCATTTTAGAGATGTAAATTCTGTGAAAGAAGAAGGTGAAGGTAAGCAAAAGAAAGCAGGGCTCTTTCTGGGAGAAACAGACAAAGAAGCCGGTATGTCAGGTCTGGCTGTATCGTTCAACACTTGAAGACTGAGGAATCAGGTTAGTGAGTCAGAGAACAACCTAGGAAAAGCTGAAGAAGAGGAGGAGGAGGAGTTGTTGTATCAGCTCCTCAGTCCTTGTTGTGCCTTTACAGTAGAGAACTATATGTGTGTCGTCCCTTACTATGACTTTCAAAGTGACTTAAAAGGGGCCAATGAGACGGCCTGCCAAGTAAAAGTGCTTGCTGTGAAGACAAGTCTGATGTCCCGAGTTCGATCCCCGGAATGCACATAAGGGTGATAGACACACACAAAGTATTGTTTCGTTTTCTGCTGCTTGGATAAAACACAGAAAGGGTTTATTTTGGCGTGTGGTTCCAGATGGCAGGAACAGTGTGGCGGCAGGCGGCAAGCATGGCTGTCAGCACAGCAAGCTGAAAGCTCACGTCTAGAATGGTAAGAACAAAACAGAGAGAGCAAACTGGGAGTTCAAAGCCCATGCTAAGTGGCACACTCTCCTCAGCAGGGCCATACCTCCTTAGCCTCTCTAAACAGCGCCACCAACTGGGGACCATTCAAATACATGAGCCTATGAGGGACATTCATTCAAACCACCATGGACTAATGAAAACAAATAAAATATTAAAATAACCTATAGATTCTTTCATAAGAGATAATAGGCTGGGCAGTGGGCAGCATGGTCTACAGAGTGAGTTCCAGGACAGGCAGGGCTACACAGAGAAACCCTGTCGGGAGGGGGGGGAGGGAATAAAATAAATATATATATATATATATATATATATATATATATATATATATATAACCTTAGCACCCACATAAAAACTAGGCATGGTGGCTCATGTCTCTAACACCAGCAATAGATCAGACGGGGATGGGCAGTCCTTGGAACTTGATGGTCAACTACTCTAGTCTAACCAGTGAGCTCTAGGTTCCATGAGAGACCCTGTTTCAAAATTAAAATGGAGAAGTGATTGAGGAAGATATCCCTGATGCCAGCCTCGGGCTGCTTTGTATACATTCCTTTAATTCTATGATTTCTCATCTCCATCTGAAAAATTTGTCGGAGTAACGACTGCCTTACTAGAAGTATGCTAATCACATAGTTTATAGAGAAGATAGAAATGGAAATCAGGTTTTCGGCATGGCAGCTGAAGTGTTGAAACACCAGCCAAGGAAATTCGGTGAGATAATATGTATTACAAAGTGTTTTCAGTATAATCGATGAAAAAATGTCAGCGGGCCCAAGATACCTAGAAGTTAGGTCTTGGACATTCCAGGCATGGGCGTTTGGGGAAGGAGGCTCTGGAAGCGAGTCAGGTGAGGTGATTTCCAGAGGCAATTGCATCTCAGAGCCAGAAATGTGGGACTCTGGTGGATGCAGAACCAGGGGGCGACAGAGTAGACCTCCGCAGGCTAGCTGCCGGGCACCTAGGCTTCTCTGCTTTAGTCCGCACAGGCAACGTTAAACACGAAATACCTTAAGCTCCTCCCCCTCTCTCATCCTCCCTTCCACCAGTCCTCCGGTTCCAACCAACCGGGAAGTCAATCAGCCTAAATATTGAATAGGAGCTCAAAGAGTCATCCTCAAGCCATCTGATCAATGCACACACCAGAGTTGATCAGAAGGGGCTGTGGAGGGAAGGGAGCTGCAGCGTGGGTGGGGTCAGAAAAATTCGAACTAAGCGTCAGAATGTCTTGGGTTACTCTCTTGGGTCCAGAAGATCATTGCGAGCTGTGAGGGAAATAAAAACACCCATAATCAGCATTAAGGATTTACTCCAGGTGTGGCCTTCAGAGCTGGCTGACTGCGTCTTGCTCTCTGCCTTTCCACACACCCGGCTTCTCTGTGGGCCCTGCAGCAGGCTAGGTGTGAAATCCCTTGATAAACTGTTTCCACTGCTGCGCTGTGAGATTTTCCATAGTTTGGTCCCTGAAAATGGAGGGCATTAGAACGGATAGGAACGATGATTTGGTGCCCAAAGAGGTGAATTGGTCGCCAAAACAAACAAACAAAACAAAGAGACCCAAGCGAGATGCACCATTGCATGGCTATTCTATCCCCACTTCTAGGGAAATCAGCATTAAGGGAGCTGAATGTTAGGATGAAGATGATCGATTTCATGCAAAGACCAATGGACGGAGATGAACAATATGTCCTATGATGATGTTAGAGGTGAAGCAGGAGAGAGAAGTTATGTAACTAAATATTTTCTGTCATTTCTCTCCTTGTAAACCAAGATGGGTGTCTGCTTTCCACACAGGAGTAAGCCTCCATGATTATCTACATTCCTTATTTGAGCAACAGCAAAAGAAATAATATTCAAATGGACATCACTGCTATATTTTATTCATTGGTTACTAACATTTGAAAAATACCAAAAATCAAGTGGACAGTGTACACTAGTTACTTTGAATATTTCACTTACTATGGATGATTTAAAAAAATAACTCTCTATTCTGTTTCACTTAATGCTTCAAGTAAATTACATTTTCTGCCTCTCATATTTGAATACAAGGCTGTTATCTTAGGGTTTCCAGCACTGTGGATGAAACATTTCATGAAAGTAACTCCGCTTCACCCGTAACTTCTCTTCCTACTCCTTTATTTATTTATATTATTAAAGAAGAGGGAAAAGAAAGAAATAAAGAAATAAAAATTTCGCTGTAGCTTGGGATCGTGAGGCTGTAGGGGACAATCTGCCTTCACTCCCATTAATCAGGGGGTGACTGGTGCTGTATTTCCTTATAGCTTCTTCCTGTTCAAGATGAAAGAGAAATTCGTAATCAAATAAAAGTTGCACTGCAAACATTACAACTAATTTATACACTTAAAAACCCAGGGTTGTATTCAAATCTGACTGGGAACATGACACAAGATTTAATTTAAAAGGAAAGAGGGGCAATTTCTCCTTTCATTTTGGTAACTCAATTTACATTGTGCCATGACTTAGTAATTATGCCGCCAGCCCCACTGTGAACACTCACAAAGGGACTTGACTTTCCCATCTCCCGGTTCTGTGGAGACTAGATTCAAACAGAAGTGACGGCGTCACTCAGGTGGCTTAGAATCCCTGGAGGCTCCTCTTTTCTTCCTTCGGTCTCCTTTAATGCTGCCTTCCTCATTTCTGGTGCTTTACAGAGAGGAGAGACTTTAAATGTACTGACTACAAGTCATGTAGACCAGATACACAGGATACCAAGCACTACACAGGCCGTAAGCCGTAGGCAGTATTTCATTCATGTTGAAAGTAAAGCAGAAGGCTGGAGTTGTAGCTCAGTGATAGAGCATCTGTCTAGCATGCACAGGCCGGACATTCAATCTCCAGCAACCCCCAACCCCTAAACGAGTAACATCTAAAAATCAGTAACAGTCACATCTAAAGTCCAGTTTTTAAAAGGTAGAGCCAAGCTGGGTGTGGTAGTACACGCCTTTAATCCCAGGACTCAAGAGGCAGAGGCAGATGGATCTCTGTGAGTTCAAGACCAGCCTGGTCTACAGAGCAAGTTCCAGGACAGCCAGATCTACACAGAAAAACATTGTCTCCAGGGGCGGGAGGGGAAGACAGGGAGTTGAGCTAATAATTTTAAGTACCTCGTGGTGCAGGTCTGGAATCTCCGCATGTTCAAGGCCTGCTTGAGTTAGGAGATGAGTTCAAGACCATTCTGAGCAACTAAGAACCTGTCTCAACATTTTTAAAGAGGAAAGAAAAAACTGGATATAATTCAGTGATAGACACTTGCCCAGAATGATGAGGTCCTAGGTTCAACCCCCAGTATCACAAAATGAAAGAAAAAAAATATAAATAACAGTTCATACAGATGTGGAGGTATAATGCAATGGTATGTGTGGCAGCCCCAGAACCTAACTAAATATCCTGGATTGAATACGATACTATTGAAAAGAGCGAGCTTGAAGAAGTCAATTAGGTGGAATTCTGTGAAATCAGGCTTATTTTTTTTCCAAATAACTAGACATTTCTGAAGGTTTTAAGCAGAATGGAAATCAGTGTCAAAAAGAGTGTAGCAAAGGAGTATGCCCTCCCTTAGCTTTCCTGAGCACAGTAGGAATGTGCTTGAGGCTCACACTGCTAGTCTGACAATCAGTATGGCCCCACCATCCAGCTCATCACTGGCATGTGACATGGATGATTACTAAGTCCTTTCTGCCCTTGCTCCTGGGACATTACAGCTTCACGCTCCCCCCACCCCCCACCCCCCCACCCGCTCTCTCGGGCCACTCTTCTGTCCCCTTGTTTCTCACCTTTCCCCTTCAACTCAGTCCCTTCTCTTTCTAGCTCATCCCCTGATGACCTCATCCACTCTGGTGCCTTATACCACTCTGTATGCTAACAAGTCCCTGAGTTCTCTCCTGCTGATCACTACTCCCCATTTGAGTGCCTGTTAACTGTTTGAAACTTCACCTGTCCAAAATCCAAATCCAACATCTAAACCAGATAGTATGACACACACCTGTAATCCTAGCTCCGAGGTTACAGAGGCAGGTGTATGGTGAGTTCTGGGCCGGCCTGGGATGTATAGCAAGACCCTGCCTCAAGAAAACAGCCTCCTCTCTGTCCAAATGCAACTTCTCTTCTCCTCCTCTTCACTCTATGCATGCACGGTCTTCTCTCTGGTTTTCATTTGTCCAGGCCAGAAGCCTTTCATGTCTCCCCCCACACACACACATACAATCTATCCACAAATACTTCACCTGCAAGATGGGGCAGCCGCTTTCTGCTGACTCAGTACAAGCTCCCATCAGCTTCCTTCTGGATTTTACAACCAGCTACCCCACTGACCCCTCAGTGTTCACCTACCCCCCTTGCCTCTTGTCTGAAAAGCTGCCGGGGACCGTTTCAAACCTAAGTCAGGTCAGGGCTTGACTCTGCTCAGAGCTCTCTAGAAGTTTACCATTTCCCAGTGGTGTCCATGACTCTGTGTGGTCTGCACTCTTCATTCCTCTGCCCAGCCAAATGAGCTTGCTTGTTGTCCTGCATCCTGTCTTCGCTTTTCCCACACCCATCTTTTCTGAGACCTTCACTGGGCTTAATCCATTACCTCCTTCTCCAGATGAGGTCCTCTCCATTCACACTCTTTGAAAGTACCCCCAACACCACCACCAGCAAGCCACTGGTACTTCTTATCCCCTGTCCCTGCTGTGATCCCAGTGCTTATCACTAGCAGGCATCCCAGATACGTTACCAATGTACCTGTTGACTATCTCATCCTCCAGATTGCTTTTCTCCATAGCCGTCGATTCAGGTACCCACAACAGCTCCTGACATGGAGAGTCCAATCAATGTTTGTTGAATGAAAGGACACCTACAAAAATATGTGTATGTAATTGTAGTAGCAGATGGTGCCTACGCACTTGGTCCCTGTTAACAATGTGATTCCTAAAATGGGCATATCCAACAAAAAAATCATTTTAAATGTACCTGGGATACTGTTACCAGGAGGGACTTGATGGACCTTTTAGAAGAGCAGAGATTCTTTTTAAAAAGTGCCATTGCTACAGGTGACTAAGGAACTCTGGGAGCAGGAGAAGAGTCTTCCCCAGGGAGGAGCACACCAATTGGTTATCCCATACCAAACAGTCAGCCCTGAGAACATACATACGAGTGACATTATACAGACCGCGCAGGTCACATTTCAGAGTGTGTGTGTGTGTGTGTGTGTGTGTGTGTGTGTGTGTGTGTATATATATATATATATATATATATATATATATATATATGAATGCAATACTAATTAATAAAAGAAGAGCTCATGAATTTGAAAGCAAGCAAGGAGGGATACACAGCTGGGCTGGCAGGGGGAGGGGAGGGACAGATGCTGTAATTGTATTACATCTCAAATAATTTAAAAAGCACAGCTGGGGTGCTGGGAGATGGCTCAGCACTTAAGAGTGATTACTACTCTTCCAGAGGACCTGATGTTGGTTCCCAGCACCCTCCCTGTGTGACTCACAACTGCCTGTAACTCCAGCTCCAGTGAATCCAAAGGCCTCCTTTGGCACACATGTACACATACAGACCCATAGACAAACACAAATAATTTTTAAAATCCTAAAAATATTTTCTTAAGGGACATGAGCACTTGGGTGGCCAGGATGGCTCAGTGGGTAAAGGGTACTGGCCAAGCAAGCACTCCTGATATCCGAGTTTGATTCCCAGATCCCACCGTGGGAAGAGAGAATTGTCGCAGGGGCACCCACATTTACACACACACATCATGCGCACACAATAGGGAAAACTAATAATGAAGTGCAATTGTATTCTCACTTGTCTGTGTTGCCAATAACGAATTTTTATCTTAATGACTAGCTTCCATAGAGTAGACTCTTCTAGAAACTCTTGAGAGCTGGAGGGGTAGCTCAGTTGGTAACGTGTTCGCCTTGTGAACATAAAAGCCCCAGTTCAATCGCCAGAACTCAGGTTTACAAACCATCAAAGGAAGGAACGCCAAGCATGGTGGCGAGCTCCTGTAATCCCAGCCCTCGGGGAACAGAGAGAGACGGATCTTGGGGCTCTCCGCCCAGCCAGGACCTGGAAAGGCAGATGACACACTGTACTTACAGAATGACCCCCCCCCCCACACACACATGAACATCATGAACATGCATGCACACACAACAATAAAGAAGAAGAAGGAGGAGAAGGAGGAGAAGGAGGAGGAGAAAAAGGAGGAGGAGGAGGAGAAGGAGGAGGAGGAAGAGAAGAAGAAGAAGAAAAAGAAGAAGAAGG